AGCAGAGCCCAGGATCCTCTCCCTCCGAGCCCCGGATTCTGCTCTCTACCTGCAAGCTTATTTCCAGGGCACAGGAGGTTGGCAGGTTCTCCCTACCCTTGACTAAGCCTATCCGTCTATTGATTTTAATCAGATATTGATCTGAAGCCCCTTTTATTGCTCATCCTCACACTGAAGGACTGGGGGACACACACACATACATTCAAGCATGTAAATCTGATTTCATGTTAGTGGTTTTCCACAGGCTGAGGCACAAAACTTGAACATTTTGAACATGGTGATGGAGAGGGAGACCCCTCGTTTCGTTGCGCTTGCCATCTTTTATGTTTATCTTTTATTGATCTGATTGTTATTTCTTTGTTTAATTGTGAGCTGCGCCAGAATCATTGAGAGTCAGGCAGCACACAAGTTTAATAAATAATAATAATAATAATAATTATTATTATTATTATTATATTATTTTGAACCCCTAGCAGCAAGCATTGATTTATAAATAAATGTGCATGCAGTATAATCCTGCATAGGAGATACTGTAAATCAGGAAAAAACCCATGGCTTCAAATGTTGCTTTACACTAAATTGCAGGGGTGATTCTGACTGTTTGATAAGGGGGACACGGTTTCTGTGTTTTTCACCTTTGACGAAAACATTCAGCAGATATATAATGAAGATGATGCAAAAGTATTTCTTTCTAGTCCGGACCAGCATAAATAACTTCTGTGCATGTGCTCTGCAGGGCTCTGGACAGGAGGCAGAGTCCTGTCCAGGGGAAGGTCCTCTTAGAAGTCAGGCACAGCATCCGAGCAAGAGGGTAGATATTTCCAAGCCGAGGCCCGGCTTCAGCCAGGTTTCCGGCTGAAGAGTGGCCAAGCTGGCAAGAAGCCCGCTGTCTCTGGCGAGAACAGGAAGCTGTCTAAACACCTGTTACAGGACAAGAAGTAGCATCAGGGAGCAAAGAAGGGGGCAGGTCACACAAGCCCGCAGAGAAGGAGGAGGGCACGCTCCAAAACTGAGGAAAAATATCCCAGGCAGGAAAAGTGGGGCATTTCTTTCTATGTGACCCTCTATCTTCTCTTACGAAGCATGGATTCCCAGGCAGCGCCAACCAAATGCCTGCCCCTTTTGCTTCATTGCAAACGCCTCTGTGATTCTTCCGGCTTCAGGAAGCTGGTGGAACGGTGTCCCCCTCCTCAAAGCCTGGTATCAGGGGAGCAGAAAATGCTTCCTAATGCAATCTGAGCCGAACCTGAGGTGGCAGCTGTCCAGCTTTGATGCCTGGGTCAGAGAAACCGCTGCCGTGCCCCCGGGCAAAGGCTGGATGGTCCCGCCAGCTCCGAGGGGGCTGATTCGGGCACCCCTTCCCTGCCGGCCAGAATTCCATTTCTCCTCCTCCGACAACCACCTGTGG